TTTTGTTCCAAAGTCCTTTGATGACACAGTTTCTCTCTCCCTACCCTCTTCTCTCTCTCCAAAATCCTACAATGATTGCAAGGGACTAAACCAGATACATGGACATCTCAGCCAAAAGCACACGGACATCTGTATGCCTTTTGTAAAATGTCTTTTCCAAAACAAAAACGAAAAACCCCCAAAGCAATAGCTAGGCTGGTTTCCTTGCCTGAGTTCTTATAATTCCCCGCTTTGTAGAGCTACAGCAGGTGCTGCTCAATAGCATATTCAATATGCCATATTGACACAAAAATTAATGTTTATTTTGGAGAATGCCATTGTGCACCACAACCACTCATTTATTATGGCAGCAAAATGAGAATTTGTCTTTCTTTCTTCAGTTTCTCTCTGACGTGCCTACTTCTGTAGACAATAAGTGTTTCCCTCAATTCTCAATCACCTATTATAACTGCCAGACCAAATGTAGTGCGCCCTTCAAAATATTCTCATGTTAAATTGCTCACCCATGTCTTTAGTCTGAAGAATGGCAACCGCTGTTCCCAGAGGAGAGTGCTGACTCTTTGATACATATTAAACAGTCCTAAGCAGCGTGGGTCTGCAGGCACTGTTATTAATAGAATGAATGTCTCAATGGCCAATGATTGACAGTTCTTTTGCCAAACAGCACCACGTAAAATCATTCCAAGTAAGCAATGCCTACAGTACAGTGCAGTATGTTTTCACATGACTGAGATTAGCTGACTTTGAGGCCAGTTTCATGCCAAGAGCTTTCAGTAATCATACAGGAAATGCAGATAGTGACCAATTAATGGGAGATAGATGTAGGAAGTTGCGCCTATATTTTACAAAGTGATCATTTACTCCTAGCCACCCTCCTGACTGGCATCCTGCCTTATGTTTACCATATGACTGAACACCATGCGGCATGAAATTGGTCTCAGCAGGGCAACAGTCCCATGCCAAACCAATCTGGGCTTCATTTTCAACCTGTGACTATCCTCTTGATTCCATCAGTTCTGGAATTGTAGTACAGTACTCCCCCCCCCCCAATTAACTAATTGCTTCACCATTGATTATGTCAGCTATTCCTATGCTTTCTTCCTCCTACAGGCCACTTGAAAATTACGGAGGATCTTGGTGGGCCATTTAATGATTTTGCAGCCTGTGCCATGCTAGATGCTGTATGATTTTTCATTGTATTTTAATTGCTTCTTTTATTTCTTACATTTTGCATTCTATTGCATTACAGTTTAAATTCTATAGAATTCAGCAACACAATAAAATACAATGTAAGAAATGAAAAGCAATTAAAAATCAATGAGAATATTTAATGCGATGGATGTACCATTTTCAACTATAAATCCACAAACACACCGTGAATCACCTGAATGCAGCTCAGTTGTACATGGACCACAGTTTGAGAAGCCCTAGATTATGCAGAGATGTGGGTGGCACTGTAGTCTAAACCACAGGGCCTAGGGCTTGCCAATCAGAAGGTCGGCGGTTCGAATCCCCGTGACGGGGTGAGCTCCCATTGCTCGGTCCCTGCTTCTGCCAACCTAGCAGTTCGAAATCACGTCAAAGTGCAAGCAGATAAATAGGTACCACTCTGGCAGGAAGGTAAACAGCATTTCCATGCACTGCTCTGGTTTGCCAGAAGCGGTTCGGTCATGCTGGCCACATGACCCGGAAGCTGTACGCTGGCTCCCTCGGCCAATAAAGCGAGATGAGTGCCGCAACCCCAGAGTCTTCTGTGACTGGACATAATGGTCAGGGGTCCCTTTACCTTTACCTAGATTATGCTATATATAGATGTGGGAGCCCATCCAGCATCAAGTCACATGCAATTAGTTGTACACAAAATGCATACAGTGGTACCTCTGGTTAAGAACTTAATTCGTTCTGGAGGTCTGTTCTTAACCTGAAACTGTTCTTAACCTGAGCTACCCCTTTAGCTAATGGGGCCTCCTGCTGCCACTGTGCCGCCGACATGCGATTTCTGTTCTCATCCTGAAGCAAAGTTCTTAACCCAAGTTACTATTTCTGGGTTAGCAGAGTCTGTAACCTGAAACATCTGTAACCTGAAACATCTGTAAACTGAGGTACCACTGTATTCCTATCCACATAAAAATATGCATCTGTGTTGGCTGGACATGTAAGCTTGGCCTTCTTTGCTAGATTCAAGCCGTGGGTGTATAATGCCCTAAAACATACACCTAAATCTACAAAAGGCATGTCATGTGCTCTGTTTATCGTTTACCATCATTTGATCAACTAATAAACGTAATCATTTTAGATTGCTAATTATAGTTGATTGTTATTGACTGTTACTCGCTCTGACCGCCCTCGGTGGAGGCAAAGAAATAAAATTTATTATTATTATTATTATTCTTATACAGCACATGCATCACAATACATGATAGTAATTAGTTGAGCCATTACTCTCTCATCTCTCCCAACGAATAAAACTCTTAAGCATCTGAAGCAATGATTTTATACCATGTCTATTCCACAGACATTGATGTCTTCTATTTATGCAATTAAATGCCTCAGCACGAGGCAATAAGTATATTATCATTTTTACCATTTACAACAGTCTCTTTCACTGACAAAAAAGCCCTCCTCTGGGCTGCATGTACCAAATCCCCATTTTTTAAAAGCTGGGAATTCTTAAACACCCATGTTAAGCTATGAACAGAGATAGAGCATAACCACGCATTCTCCTCTGCCTCTCTTTTTTACACTGTACAAGTTTCACCAGCACACTTTAAAAGTGTCCAATACTGTTGGCATTTTCAGATATTTCTACTAGCACTTTTAAAAGCAGCAAACCAGGACTTTCCCACAAAGCATGTGGAAAAGGCACCATATTCAGTGGTAAGTTAGGACTTCATAGCCTCCAGGTACCAAAAGAGTTGTGTGGTCAAAAATCAAGTTATTCTCCATGGCTTGTTGAACATATTTAAAAAGGGATCTGGAATCACTATTCTGTGCCTTGGCCAACCAATTTACAAAGTAATTAAGCCTTCTAATTTACTGAGCCACACCTGCCTGCATATAATAGAATGGACCTATTTTAATATTCAAGGGTAGACAATGTTATTAAATAACTACATGTTTAAATGAATGATAAAGCAATGAATTTGCTAGAAGGAAAACATATGAATATATGAAACTAAAGTATGTCAAATCAGGCCATTAATTCGTGTGTGTGTGTGTGTGTGTGTGTGTGTGTGCAAGCAACACCAGTGATTCATACTTCCTCATTTCCAAGAATCCTTGTTATCTGTGGAGCTTCTTTCCCATGGAACCCTTGTATGTTGAAGGGAATTCTGGGGGATTGTCTTGGAGAAAATACTGGGTTCATGTGCACTGGTTAGGTCTTCTGGGCTTCATTGTCATTTCACCAGCACAGTCAATGCTCTCTTGTGTTTAGACATGGCTGGTTATGGAAGATTGGTGGGCAATCTAACTTTCAGTGAAATTAGACCACCATTACAGTGGTACCTCAGGTTAAGAACTTAATTCATTCCGGAGGTCCGTTCTTAACCTGAAACTGTTCTTAACCCAAAGCACCAATTTAGCTAATGGGGCCTCTTGCTGCCTCCGCTGCGCGATTTCTGTTCTCATCTGAAGCAAAGTTCTTAACCCGAAGTACTATTTCTGGGTTAGCGGAGTCTGTAACCTGAAGTGTATGTAACCCGAGGTACCACTGTACTGATCTTCTCAGTGCAGGATACCTGGGACACCTAAGCAGAGGAACTACAAGGTTCTCTGGATCAGGATTTGAAAGCCACTTGTCTACTCTGAAGGCTGTCAGCTCTCCAAAGTCTCTGGTGAGTATTCCTCAGTCCTGCAATCTGAGATCTTTCAATGGGAGGCTGCCCAGAATTGAAACTGGGACCTTCTGCACACAAAGTATATGATCAATTTGGATCATTCAAATCACAGCCAAGTACTCTATTGATGTCAGTCAAATTTTAAATGCAGCCACAGTGTGTTCCAGTCTGAAGCCATTTAACAATTATGGGGTAAAGCCCACAAAGCACAGATATAACCTAACCTCCACTTGCTTCAACAAGGCTTTAGTGAGCACAAAGCCCAGTGAAATAAATGGGCAGGGTGGGAGTTGCATTGAATTCTGCCTATATAGGACTGAAAATTGTGCCTGCAGTGAAAAAGCATGGTTAACTGGTGAATTTTGCCTATAGTCTCTGTCTTTGTCCTTTTGATGTTTCTCAGTAGCATCTCAAGGAAAAAGGGTTTCATTGGGGAATGTTGGATGGAAGGCCAATTTCCCTGCTTCAGCACCTTGCTTTCTCATTCTTCCCTTCTTCACAATACCCATATCATGAGAAGTGGTCTGCAAATGAATTTGGGAGTGGGACATGGGGAACACAGCAGCAGGAGTGGAAGAGGCTTTCATGTAGAGGTCAGGCCTATCATCTTTGAAATTAAAAGAGCATACATGTGCTTGCCTTTTGTGTGACTCATCTACGATTTGTGGAATGCTCCTAGTTTGTAGCAGGACTGGCATTGCATGGGCAAGCTTTGAGTTCACAGACATTGTTTGTAACAAACTTCAGGATGTAGAAGCACAGTTTACTGCTTCAGATATTGGCTGATTTGCATAGTTAAGCCAAAGTATGGTTTACTGGGACCATGTAAATATGTGGGGACTCAGAGAAGAGCTTGCAGCCACTTTGTTCCTCCTTAGTCTTTTTTACCCCGGCCCCATGCTGAGCTAGAGTAAACCAAAATTTGGCTTAGTATGTTGCCCAAACACAGGGTTGTGGTTAAGCTCTCTCACTAACTATGAGCTGCAGCCAAGGTTCATTCATGCTACAGAATGTGATTAGAGCTGAACCATGAGGCAACCCTGTTTAGGGAAGTTTTTAATGTTTGATGTTTTATCGTGTTTTTAATATTCTGTTGGGAGCTGCCCAGACTGGCTGGGGAAATCCAGACAGATGGGCAGGGTATAAATAATAAATTGATGATGATGATGATGATGATGATGATGATAAACCTTGGCTTAGCTTAGTGCAGGAGTAAAGAAATTATAATAATTGAGGAGCAAAGTAGACTTGTGAGCTCTTTTGCAGCAGCCTACATGTTCACACAGCCCCAATAAGCCATAGTTTGGCTTACCATGTTGTGCAAACCAGGCCAATGCCTGAAGCAGTAAAATGTGCTTCCAGATACTTCAGTTTGCTACAGCCACTATCCATGAACTCAAGGCTTACACATGCAACCCCAACCCTGCTATGAGTTAGAAACACATTTTGTTTAGTGCAAACAAGGCTGATGTGTTGAGGCAAGTGTGTGTGTGTGTGTGTGTGTGTGTGTGTGTGTAAAAATAATTTCTAGTAGATACATATGTTAAGAGGAGGCTGACCATATCAATATTTTCTTGTTACCCATTCAGCTCTTGAGTAGCATTCAGGTGGATAAGAGGAACTCAATTCAGCTTAAGGCTGCTGGGACTTGGATGTGTGAGAAGATTGCCTCGATTTATAACTTGCTGCTTGGGGAAGGTTGAGAGAAGCTCTGGGCTGGTGGTGGGGGCGGTCTCACTGCCACTGCCTCACCCCACCCCATCCCTGCCCCTCACACCTGACCTCATCAACTCCTTTCTACAAACTTTCCTTTTGAATGCAGCCCCAAGTCACCTTATAATGCTTCTGTTATAAGACAAAAGAAAGTACTTTTTCATACCACACATCATTAATGTATAACATTCACTATCACAACGTTTGTTGATGGCTGCTAGCACAGAGGGCTTTGAAAGGGGAATTCAGCAGATTAATGGAGGATTGTTTTGCCAATGGCTGTACAACAGCCTCAATTTTCAGCAACAGTGTGCTGTTGAATATCACCTGACAGCAACCGTGGAAGAGGCTGTTCCCTTCAAGACCTTCTTGTACACTTCCTGAATGCATCTGGTTGGATGCTGTACTAGGTGGACTTTTTATGTCCACATTCCCTCAACCTGGTGTCCCCCATATATTTTGGTCTATATTTCCCATCAATTCTGATCATTGGCCATGCTAACTGGAACTGATGGGAGTTAGAGTCCAACAACATCTGAAGGGCACCAGTTTGGGGACAGATGGCTTATGTTTATTCATTTATTTCATAAATTTATATACCTGTAGATCGTAAGGAGGGGGGGGACCCTCAGAGTGGTTTATTCTTTCAACAATCCTGCACTGGAAATACATTTTAAAATAATACATGACTTCCGAACTCTCCAGTGCACAAAGTATTTTTGAACACACTGAGTTTGCCTGTTACCATGAATGTTAACTAAAAATAGACTAGTTGAGAAAGTTGAGGCCAGCTGGGATATAGAAGCCTCAGTCCACCTCCCACACCTCTCTCATCTTGTCAGCAAAGGCAGAATAGGCAGAGAGAAAGTGGGATGGTGCCCAATTATCAGGAAGATCTTATTATCTTACTTCCATTCATTCACTGCAAGGGCTGTCCACATAGGGGCGGGACTTGCAGTATATCTGGAAGATGGCAAGTGGGATCCGTGAGATGACTCACGGTTTTTGCACTTCCCATTCATTTAGCTTTCAAACCACAGAGAATCCAGTGATAGTTCCTTTTGAATTACCTTTTGGACAAATCTTTTTAGCTTTTGCTTTTGGGTCTCATGCTTTTAACTGCTGAGAGTAATTCCATTAGTACTTCAGAGAGTACTTAAAGAGGGACACACTATTAATTCAATCAAGTTGAAGCAAAGCAAGCTGTGGTGTGTGGCGGGGGCACCTGCTTGGTGGTCCAGGCCTGGTTTTGATCTCAGAGATTTTGATTTCAGTGAAAGTCCACACAAAAATGGGATTTCACTGAATCTAAGCATGACCATGGTGCCTTTGTTCCTTCAGAATGAGGTAAAATCTTGCTAATAAACAATTAAGATTTGTCTGTGAACATATGAAAGCATCTGTCCTTCTGTACTCCCACCACAAGGAAAACAATGCACATATCCTTGATTATTTGCTAATAAATTATTCTTCAAGGACTTGGTAGCTCCTCATTCTCTACTAGGTAATCTTTCTTCATATAATTAGCCCCCCTAACCAACCTCCATACTCCAAGGTAGGCATCCTTTAATGAGCTGTTGGTAACTCCTTCAGAGTTGCCACCATCAGTGACAGTAGGCGCATTTCCTTGTCCCACTATGCTGTCCTTCTCCTCTGTGCTTTGCTGGTCACTTCCATTTGCTGACTCCCCCATTGGTGTCTCCCCATGCTCTGTGTCCTTGGAGATCTCCTCCATTACAAAAGGCGGCTGTTCTCCATCACATTCTTTCTTCTCCTCTTCCCTCATTTCCTTCTCCAAGTCTTCGTAATGACTCTGCTTTCTCGTTTCCATGTACTTGGCTACACAATAAATGATGGAGCCTATGGTATTTACCACCACACCAGCTATAAACAGCTTTGTAGGCTCCACGTCGCTAAAAGCCACCATCCCGACCGTGATGGTTGCGATGCTCTTCACGACCCCAACGAAACTGGTGGTTACAGCCGAGTTGATGTAGGTGCAGTGGAGAGTGGTAAAATTCATGGCACAGCCAATCACGACACACACAATAAAGGTGCAAGTCATGGCAGGATCTTTCCATCCTGGGAAGGACCAGACATTGATGGCATCCATGCTGGCAAAGGAGAGGATGATGAGAAAAGGTGTGGCAGAAACAGCAATGGCATACTGGGCCGTAAGGGGCCCATAGTCACTATCTGCACTCGTCTTTTGAATGAGTACCAAATAGGCTGCATGCACCAGCACAGCCAGCACTCCAGTCAGATACCCAATAGGATCACCAGTCAGGTCACCCGCACCTGCCGATTTTGAGAGAAAGAGAAAGAAACATGCATTTACATGCCAGGATGTAGGGACTCTGCCTATAGCAACATTTCAGAGAGATCACAAGTCTAGTTCTGCAGGATCATCCCTCTTCTCCTACAGCAGGTGATAAGGTCAGTGCCAGAGCAATTGCAGCAGTAGCAATGAGTAAGACTTTGAATCTCAGGCCGTTTGCCTTGAGCACAAATGCAAGATTTCACAGGGGTCTCTAATGTTCATATTCAGCCCTCATTTAAATGACTTTTTAGCAAGTAACTACCCACAAATACATGCAGAAGCCCACTTGTTACATTCATTCCTATAATGCTTTGAATAGAAAGAGCTTGAATTTACTCAGCTGGATATGTAATATTGTAGAGCCGATATCTGCTTGCATTCCCTTTGAGGGAAACAAAAGTATTGATGGTGCGGTGTTTGACAATAGCTTAGTTTGAGGCACCATGACAGAGCAGTCATTGCTTGTTTTTACACGTGGTTAGGGTTTTTGTTCTGAGTTTCACCAGTCAAAACAGTTTTGCATATTTGTGTAGCCCAGAAAAGCCAAGGGTAGCAGGTGATTTGGCTACCGCTGCAAAAGATATACGCACCTTTTTTTTTAAGATTATAGGGTACACCTGCTGGATATTGTCTGGGGTGAACACACTGCACCCCTTCCAACTCCCAAAGCACTCTTAAAGCTGTTTTTAAAGATTATAAATAGACCGTGATGGTAACCTGTTCACAAATACACTCACAAATATTTGTTTAAAAAATTATCCTTTGAAGTTAAACCAAATCACCTGTCACCTGTGCCAGAAGATGCTTGGCATCTCCTCTGGTGAATTTTAACACTCCCTCAATTTGTATGAACTTGAGCAAAGAAGTGTGGCAAAGAAGTAAGAAAACATAGCGAACTTGCTTCTTCCTCTTCCTGCAACAAGGTTTCTCTCTCCCCATCTCCTTCCCCTGTGATTGTACAGTGATCAAGGTACTTATGCCACAAGAGAGGAAGCTGTTCCTTTTCCTCCACAGATAAGAGCACCTGAACACACTCTGGGTCATCCAATTAATACAGAATATAGCCCAGCAGCCCATGTTAGTTAGCTGTCTGTGACTGAATCCTTCTCGAAGTGAGTGGGGAGGAAGTCCAGGGCCTGGTCTAGCAGAATGAGCAGGAGGGTACTCAAATGCAGCAGGGCTGCATTTCCAGATTGTGAGGTGAATAAAGGTCCACATTACCATCTAAAGAGCGCTGCCTCCTTAAAAGCACTAAGTCTAGAATCCAACTTTGGCCAACTGCACTACTGCCTTCTATGGAAAGCAGACACAACTTGAGCAATCTGTCTCTAGATAACACCCTCTCATGAACAAACAAATAGGGGGAAATGGCACAAATATTTATATAGGGGGGAAATATAGAAGTTAAGTTACTGACTGTCATTGTCTCATAGTGATTTTATGTAAACTGCTTACAGGGCTTGATGATTAAGTGGTACATACTGTAAATAAACTAATAAATAAAATAATATCCAAATCTCTTTGTAGGGCAAATATTTCTTAGTGTGCTTCATTCTTTCATATCCTTTTAAACTAAGCAAGAGTTTATTTCCAAGGTGGGGGGAAATATGACACCCCGCTTTGTTTAATAACCAGATAAGAAGACACTGGGAATTGCTGGTTAATTATTCTATCTGCACAGTTCTTGCAATAGCTAAAGCATTAATTTTTTTAACTCAGTCATATTCATCCCAGCTTAACTATCCTTGAGGATTCAGAACTAGTTCTCACTTCTGAACATGCATACATGTATACATGAATTCTGGCGATCCAGTTATTCCTAAATAGAATTTCCCCCTGTCTATTAATGGCACTGGTAATAGACTTTAATTATAGACTGTAGAGACAGTGGCACTGCCTGACGGATCCATAATGTGGATTTTCTCAAGAGTTTTTCCTCATCCTTAACAACAGCTGCCATGTGACAGACAAGCCAGGCAGCTGCAAATAAAATGGGGCTAGCGGAAGAAGAGGGCTTGGGGGGAAATCAGCTGGGCCACTTTAGACATGACATTTCTCCTGCATGGAGATAATCCCCATAAAGGAAAAATCACGTCCATGGGTCATGCATAGAAAACACAGGAGTGCAAATTTGACTGACGACAGATGTACTGCAGGTGTACTCAAGTGTACATATTTTGCTTCTTACATGGAGGTGACCTACCTGTGTGTTTTTAGTTAGAAAGAGCCTTTATTGAACTCTTTATTATAGAGAAAATGAGTATTTTTAAAAAAATTAGAAAGCCCATGGCATAGGGGAAGGGGATGGTAAGTTGTGATGGAAGGGCGGGGGCAAGTTTGGGTTAGAACCTGGGCAGCTTCAGACATAGTTTGCATTTATGCAAACAGTGCACATACATGTGAGAATGGCACACAGATGTGTACCCTGACATAAAACTAGCCATGTCAGGGAGCTCATACTGTGTGAAGCAGCCCTGAGGCAGCCTCTGCTAATGAGCAGAACTGTATGCTTGAGTGTAGAAGAGGAAGGATGAGACAAGACCTTGCCACTGGGAGGATGATGGGACAAGGAGTCATGGGAGAAGGAGCAGTGGTAAGAGTGTGGAGCTATGAACTTTGGCGAGGTACTACTAATCTTCATAAAACATTGGCTGAGAAGATACTGATGACTTTATTGGGGTGTTTTGAGGGGTGGAGATGGAATGGGAATTGGTTGAGGCTTGTAGGTGTGGAATGGGAAGTATTTGAGATAGGAAGAAGTGACTTTAAAGGAAGGACTACATTACATGTTTTTACATCTCTATCTTTTCACCCACCTTCCAACCTTTATAGTCACTTTATTAAGGACTGGACAGTGATATTAGGCTGAAAATATATGAACATAAAAATATATTTAAGGGGTGGGAAAACTGCTGTGTTGAAGGTTGGTGTGGAAACATGATGTAGGTTGAGGCGAGCTCTAGAGATGATCAGAGATGTAATAATAAAAGCTAAGGAAGCGTGGAAGGAGGTAAGATAGAGATGGCAAGAGGGTCGCAGCAGGAGTCAGTGGGAATCCAAGCGAAAGACCAGAGTGGAGAGAAAAAAGGGACGTGGTGGGTGATGGGGTTGGTGAGTCGGGAAGTGATGGGGTGAGGAAAGGACAGAGTGGGAGGTGATGTGGCTGTGCGGGCATGCCAAGGAGCTGGATATGATCGGCAGCGGGTGAAGGGGGGGAGGGGGCGATGAGAGGGGACTAATCGAAGGGACGAGGCAGGACAGGGTAGAACCCGCAGGATCCTGGTGAAATGAGCCGTGAGGACCGAGGAGGAGCTGTGGCGAGGTTTCCCTCTCTCTCCATCACTCACCTGCCAGAGCCGCCCCGCAGGTGGTGATGAGGACGGCCACCAAGACCCCGACGGAGGGGATGCCGTTCTTGAGCACCAGGACGCCGATGAGGAGGGTGACGAGGGGCAGGCAGCGCTTGAAGACCACGTACATGGGCAGGCTGAGGCCGCGCAGGGACCAGAGGGTGAGGCTGGACTGGAGCGTGGAGAGCAGCGTGACCCCGGCGAAGAGGCGCGCCAGGCTGAAGCCGAAGGGCGGCATGTCCAGGGCGCCCCGTCGCCGCAGCACCTCCAGGCTGAGCGCCGCCGTGGAGCTGGTCAGGCACTGCAGCAGTGTCAGGAAGGCGAAGTGGTAGCGGGTGATGAGAAACTTCAGCAGGATGTTGAGCGAGCCCGAGAACACCCCGTGCGCCACCGCCACCGAGATGCCCAACGCGCGGCCCCGGCACAGCTGCATGGTGCGTCCTGCGTCCTCCTTCCCTCCCTCCGGAGCCGGTGCTACCTTCCCGGCTGCGGCTGCTGCTGCTGAGGACGCCGCGATCGCCCGCCCGCCCGCCCGCCCCTCGCCTGGCGCTGCTGGAGGGCTCCGCGCCGAAGCAGCTGCGAGGCTGGGAAAGGGCAACTTTGCTGTGCGCCAAGAGCGCGCGCGGAGGACGGACTGGACGGGGACAGTGATCAATAGGGGCGGGCGGGCGGGGGGACGGGATCCGCGGGGAAATGCCTCTGCAGGCTCGGGAACCTGCTGCCTACACCATCGCCCAGCAGCTCCTCTTGCTGACGCAGAGGGGGGCTGGCTGCCCGGGCGCTTCCCATTACCTTAATTAAATGGGAACAATTGGAGTGCATTGGCCGCGCTTCCTTCTTGACCCGCGTGAATCATGGATTCGCTTTGTTCCTGGAAGAAAAAGGGAGGAGGAGGAGCGGGGCTGAATCAAAAGATCGAGCGGTAGGTGGAATCCCCCCTCCGCACCCTTCCAACTGCCACCCCCCCCACCTCTATCTTTAAAAAGGAGGGAGGAATCCTCATTAAGTTTTGTCTCTCCTTCCAAGAGAAAACAAACAAACCAGTCCTGGCGTGCCTCGTCGAATATGTCAAGCAACCCACACACAAAGCCCAAAACACAACTTCCAATTTATAGGTTAGGTTTTTCCGTGCAGTTCACTTACGCTAATGGAATAGGCATCCATCCTTATTGAATGAATGTGGGTAGGGTCCTTTATAAGGCAGTACAAATATTGATCCAGTCTTGCGCCTGGTCGCTTTTCTGCAATCGACAGAAAGAAACAGGTGCCTCGAAAGCAAGCAGCAAAGAGTTAACCCTTCACTGGGAGGTGTGCGCCTGTTTGGAGTCTCAGTGCTTCGGCAAATTATCAATGAATGCACCACAAAGCTTAAGGTAATTAAATAATGCGGTGGTTTCTGAATAGCATATTATCTCTGTTTTTAAAAAATAACGCTTTTAAATTTCACCACAAAAGAAAACCAATTGCCAATGTATGAGCAGGGAGAAGGGAAAGTGCCCAATGGGAACTTTGGAGTTGGGAAGGATCTTAAAGGAAGCAGCCGACTGGAGATGCCCTGAGCTGCAACTACTACATAGACCACCTCTAGGGTGATTCCGGCAAACCCTTCGTGGAACTCCCAGCCCAAACATCCACAAGAGCGCAGCCATAACAACTCAGCAAGCCACCTAAGCGCGTCTGGGAAATGACTCCGCCTGACACCTGCCATCATCCAAAGGACTGCTTGAAGAAGATGAGGAGGGGGACGTGGAGGAGGAGGAGGAGGAGGAGGAGGAGGAGGAGGAGGAGGAGGAAGAAGAAGAAGAAGAAGAAGAAGAAGAAGAAGAAGAAGAAGAAGAAGAAGAAGAAGAAGAAGAAGAAGAACAACAACAACAACAACAACAACAACATCAACTGGAGGAGGATGTGGAAAACTTATCGCGATCTCTCTACTCTCTTCCCCGCTTTTTTTTTTTGCAAAGGACTTTGAAACGGAAACAACAAGCGAGAAGATTACGCACGGATATTAAAAGATCCATTTTCCAAGCGCATGGGGTAAGACCAAGAGGTTAATTCTGAGCTACTTCTACGCGATTATTTGAACAAACAACCCCCTGCACAGATTTGTACATTTTCTAACCATGCGAATACGGTGGACAGTCAGCGTCTAGGACTTTCTTCGGTGATGCGCTGCCCAATCCTGTCCATCTTTTCTCGCTTTGTTCCGTGGGCTTTACTTAAATAAGAAGGTGAAACTGAATATCCTCCTAAATCCAGGATCCTGTGTCTAGTTTTAGTCCCCTAGCAACTGATACTAAGGGCTCCGTTGGGTCTGCGCATGGCTAACAGCCTCAGATAGACCTGGGTTCTATTAGACGTGGGTAATCCCTTTTCCAAGTGGTCTAAGCCTTAGTCGCTAATAAAGAATTGGGCAGGAACGCCGGTCATCCCCCCAAGCCACTTCGTCAGTCAGGATAGGGCCACACCTTGAGCGGGGAGAGGAGCAGCCTCCACACTGAATCCCCCTCCTCTTGCTTGTTGCATGCTAGTGGTGAGTGAATCACAAACCCTGGCCTGAGAAAAATGTGGTAGACACCCACCAGGGCAAAAATATGAAAATACAAATAATTGAATTACTGTATTGATGCATTACTACATTTATTAATATCATTGTGCTGTTTTCTGTGAAGAACACAAGAGCAGTTCTGACTTCTAATCTGGTCCAGCAGCCTGTTCTTCGCAGCTGCCAGATAGATAGATAGATGATAGATAGATAGATGATAGATAGATAGATAGATAGATAGATAGATGCCTGTTGGAATCTTGTACCTATTTTGTATGCTGCCTGGATAATTTTACTGATGGGCATCTACATAAATTTAAAATAAACAACTACTCTAAGCATGTTAAACAAATTGCTTTTAAATTTCACCAATTTACTATTGCATCCTTAGGACTTACAAGTCTAGCTACAGGCCTGACAGCAGAGCTGGGGACATCCTTAATGACCAGCTACAAAATTCCATTAACTCATGCCCAAAACTTAGTACAGTTTTAAAAAGCTGTGATGATAATGTTTTAAATTTATAAGGCAGAATGTTTCCTAGCAATACCACTCATCCCCTTTAAACAAATGATGCAGCAAACATATAATAGTTTGCAGCCCCCATTGATTCAGCAAAAGATGCTAGTCACCATGAGATATCGGGGAGGAGGTTTTTCCTTTGTGACCCAGGGACCAAATACAGCCCTCCAGTCCTGCTTGGCTCTCAAGACTTTCCCTGGGCCAAGGATGGGGAACCGGTGGCCCTGAAGATGTTGTTGGACTCCAACTCCCATCAACTCCAGCATTATCAATGATCAAGGATGATGGGAGTTGTAGTCTAGCAACATCTGGAGGCCTGTAGGTTCCATTTCCCGACCATAGATTATCCTTCCCCCAAGTCGTATCCCTCACCAGCCTTACTCCATGTCCTCCATTATTTTATTTTCCTGACCAGAATATGTCCTTGTGAATGCCCCTTGCTTGCCCAGATGGAGACTTGTGTCCATGTGTATAGAAAACTATTATTTTTCCATGGCTGGAATTTAGCCAACTGTACGGAGGCAAGAATCACACCCACTACTTCTGCCTCTGGTCCCACCCATCACTGGCCTCTGGAGAATTCTGAGCTTCTGGCTGAAAAAAGGTCCCATCGCCCCCACTCTAAGAGATAGCAACTTGGTTCAGAGTCACCTTGTGGTCTCCATGGCTAAACGGAGATTTGAATTCATTTGCCTTTCTCCAAATCCAACATTCTGTCTGCTACATCATGCCTCTCTTGACAGCATAACCTTAATGCACATTCTGAATTTCCTCACTATGATTTCACGCTTTTGTGACCATCCTGGGGATTATGGGATGGACAAGCGTGTTAAATGTAAAACAGAATGAAGAGCACCAGCACACCAATTCTAGATAAGATCTTGAATGAAAACAGGACACACTGCTGCCAGTTACCATTAAATTGCATTAAGGGACCCAGTGGAGGGGCTGATAATCTCTTTTCCTCTGAAATCTCAATTTCATGGTGATGCTGGTGGAAGAAGACCCAGGCACACACATGGACACGCACACACGCAGCAAGGAGGCCAAAAAAGGCTCCATTTATCCACTTCTTTATAATTTAATCATTGACATTAATCAGCCTTATCTGATCAATCTGTTTGCAGGAAAATAAAAGTTTGCTGAGCTTCCAAAAACAAATATAATGTAACAGAAAGTAACATGAAACACACACACACACACAACAACAACAACAACTGAGGATTGGACACACACACACACACACACACACACACACGCACACAGGTTTGGCTCTGACATTTCCCACTAATTTTGCTTTGTGATGGATTTTGATGGTGCTGGGTTGCTTTAACAGTTTATTATTTTATGAGCCCCTGCCCCACCCCATGAAGGAAGTAAATAATGTACATTCAAATTGGGACCTGTAGCTTGCTGGTGCATGGAGTCATAAAATTTTCCAGGATATTCCATTCTTTCCTCCCTTTCCTTTGGTTTCCATTCCCCTTCAACCCATCAGTCAGCATTCCATGGTCACTGAGCATGCTAAGTCTTCAGTGGCCTGTTTTGGGGATTTTCTACCACCAACCTTATGCAGGAGGGGTTGTTTCTTTCCCCTCCACCACCACAAACCTTCAAGCCTGTTGTTGCTTCCCTCTTGTGCCTGGATGATGCCATTTTGGCTACGGTACTTAAGGACCAGCACTTCGGAGAAAGCGTTTGCTATTAGCATAGAGGATGCTGTGGATTTTAGCACAGTAAATGAGACCATTTATTCTGTTTATTCTTGTCCCCAGACAAGGACAGATACAATAAAACCTGTGCCACTTGAGATTCCTGAGCAAAAACTGGCCAAAGTTTCTGAGAGGGGGAAAATTAAGCAGCAGCAGCTGCAACACTGGCTCACCATGTCTCACTTCCAAGCAGATCTCCAGGAAAATTAGCTACTGCTTAGGGACATATGCTGCATAAATTGAAGGAATCAAGGCACAAGGATATTGTTAGAGAGTGGTCTGAGCCCCAAGTCCTTCACACTGGGCCCTGGATACCCTGCCCCTCAGCCCCTTTAAAAAACTTTTAATATTTCAAAGTTTTGCTTACTGGTCAGTTTCCCCTCTGGAAGTTGGCCTAAGGTGGCATCCATACATATAAATTAGCACATGTAGATTTTAAGCATGTGTGTCATAGGCCTGTTGTCAGTCTTTTAAGGACCTAGAAATCCCCCACAGGTCATACACATGACAAAGAATGTTTTGGAATGGAAGTTTCACAAGGGGGAAAATGTGAAGGCATCACAATATTTGAGAGGTATTTCCTGCCAAAACCTCACCAGATTTTCTGTTCCCGTGACAATATTTTTTTCAGCCACATTCACACAGATCATTCAATCACATTCCACTGAGAGATTTTCTTGCTGTTATTGCATGAACCAGTCAAGAAAGAGTGGGTGGTGGTTTAGACTGAAGGACTTCAGAGCAGTTTCCTAAGGAGTGGGGTACAGCAATACTACATTTTCTTGTTGTTGCTTAGTCGTTTAGTCGTGTCCGACTCTTCGTGACCCCATGGACCAGAGCACGCCAGGCACCTCTGTCCTCCACTACTTCCCGCAGTTTGGTCAAACTCATGCTGGTAACCTCGAAAACACTATCCAACCATCTCGTCCTCTGTCGCCCCCTTCTCCTTGTGCCCTCCATCTTTCCCAGCATCAGTGTCTTCTCCAGGGAGTCTTCTCTTCTCATGAGGTGGCCAAAGTACTGGAGCCTCAGCTTCACGATCTGTCCTTCCAGTGAGCACTCAGGGCTGATTTCCTTAAGAATGGATATGTTTGATCTTCTTGCAGTCCATGGGACTCTCAAGAGTCTCCTCCAGCACCATAATTCAAAAGCATCAATTCTTCGGCGATCAGCCTTCTTTATGGTCCAGCTCTCACTTCCATACATCACTACTGGGAAAACCATGGCCTTAACTATACGGACCTTTGTTGGCAAGGTGACGTCTCTACAATACTACATACATATTCCAAATTTTGCACTAAGAAAATGTGACTTTTGTATCACTCATTCACATTTTATAGGACTGCTGGATATCACTCTCAGGGTTAACCTTTGCTTCTAAAAGCTGGCTAAGCATTACCCCCCAGCCAGTCTTCTCAAGTTTAAGAACTACAGAGATAGTTCTTAAGCCATCAAGATTTGGGTGGACAATTCCCACCATGCCTGACTATTGGCTATGCTGCTTGAGGCTGATGGGAACTGGAGACCCACATCATCGGGTGGGCCAGAGGTTTCATAGACCTGGCCTAGTCTGTGCTTTGCTTTTGTTTGCACCAAGTTCTGAGCTAGTACAATCTGATAATGCTATTGCAGAATATACAGAGTCCTTTCTGTAAGGATGGCAAGATAAAGAAAATATCTATGTTCTCTATCAGCCTAACAACTGCATGACAAGCTAGCATCTGCTAGCCAGTTGGATTGAATGTCAGTCCTCCTCAGAGTATGCCTATTGAAATAAATGTACTCAAGTCAAGTAATTATTTTTAATGGGTTTAGTCTGAAGAGAACCAATGTTTGATTCAGTCCATTGCCTATATACTCAGGTACAGATACCCCAGAGGAATCTACGTCAATATGGACGATAGATTTTACCCACAAAGCATTGAGTAAATGTATCTCAGTGGGCAACCAAGCACTCTGCATTTCCTAAGGGGCCTCCCAGAACTAGTTTAGCCATTATTACTAGTAATCCGCTTTGATTGCCCCCCAACCAATGAATACACACACACATTTGTGTGTGTGTGTGTTAAATAAACAAATAAATAATTCACTATTTGCTGAAACAGCAAAATGGCAAATGGAAACATCTCTTAAATCTTTCCTAGAGGTGATTCACTTAACATTTACATAGGCAAAATCTCATTTGTCTCAAAGGGTCTACTCCATCTAAGTACAGACTGTGAATTAGTCTACTAATTTTAATGTGGAATTACAATAATTTAAAAGCTTGCTGTGATAAAACACTCAGAGCAGTTTCACAGGAATCTCGCATTTTCACGGCATGTGCAAAGCCATGCAAAGGGATAAATATGAAAGAACTTTAATGTGCCCTTTAAAATAAGGATTAAATACTAATGACATTTCTACTTAAAAGGCCACTTGTGAATATAGCTACTGGAGAACCCAAAGATACTGCTGTGAACCTTAAAAGCCACTGCTTTTAAAAATGATTATGTTTGAAAAATTAAAAGTTGGCTTTCAATTACTGCTGATGAAACATTTTTCACTGTTCTGCAGGATGTTTATATCCTTCCAGGTTTAGAAATTAGTTGTTAAAGGTTAAAAGCCAAACTACATTTATTTAATGTACATATTCAGGGCTATATATACTCAGTATTTAAAAAGGACATGTAGACTTAGAAACTTGTGACAGAAACATTAGCAAATGGCATGTAAAGATCAGGCAGCAAAACCCCTCTCATCAAAGTGAGAAATTTGCATATAAAAGTCTGATATTTCTGGCCTCATACTTGACTATTGTCTAGTTTTAAGTCTAGCTTGTTGAGGTCCCCCCCCCCGCCCCCTTTCTCTCAGTCATGCACACCTAGTTTGCAAAATATTCCATTACCTCAATTTTCACTACTACATTGCTTGCATAGTGACTAGGAAGATGAGATAAAAGGAATAACTGCTAAGGCTTGCAATGATCAGTTTTATTGCAAAGGACTAGCATTTATTACCTTGAATATTACGAAAAGCTATATGCAGTCATTTTATGGTTCTCTGCAATTTCTCGGTTGATAAATTTGCAAGTGTTTGTGACACTTCAGTCTCCTGCAAGATCCTATCAATAAAAACAGAAAATGGAACTTTTGCTTTTAATACAGTGAAGAAAGACTTGTTAAATAGTAAACAAATTCTGAAATTTGTTCCAGTTCAGGAGTTGTGAAATTTGCATGAAGCTCTTCTCAAAAGACATATCCATTCATTGCCATGGAGGGACAAGATTAATTGGCACAGGTATGCATAAAAGGTATACACAGATCCCTATTTCAGTTAACAACAGTGGTGCCTCCTGCATACCCAGACACAGTATTCAGCTTGTAGGCATAGCTAAAATAGCAAAAATGAAAAAGCAACAGCTATTACGGATTTCATCTGTTCCACTGCCTCCTGGTGAGAGAATTAAAATACAGCAATCTCTGCTCTTCCCAAAATAATAGACCTCTTTATAGTAATAATAATCACCATCACAAAATACCAGATATTTCTGGGACGAAATAATGAGCCAGGAGGCAACCCTAACATACAGCTTAGCAGTGTTCAAGCTACATCTCAAGAAAGTAGAGAATTCATTTTGGTGGAGTTGTCCAAAGGTCCAGGATTTTCGGCAAATGGTCTTTGGGATTATATTGGCTATTACATTGCAGGTGGTCACTTTGGCGTTTTGGCCCTTGTATGTATCTCTCTGCAACAAAAGGAGCTGGTAACGTATGAAGATCGTTACTTGCAGTGTTCAGTCTCTCGACACTGACAACAACACAGGAAGTCACTGTAAAGAACAGGATGGCGTGAACTGCTTCTACATCTTACGCGGTGGTGCTGTGGTCTAAACCACTGAGCCTCTTGGGCTTGCCAATCAGAAGGTCGGCGGTTCGAATCCCTGCAATGGAGTGAGCTCCCATTGCTCTGTCCCAGCTCCTGCCAACCTAGCAGTTCGAAAGCACGCCAGTGCAAGTAGATAAATAGGTACAGCTGCAGTGGGAAGGTAAACGGTGTTTCCGTGCACTCTGGCTTCTGTCACGGTGTCTCATTGCACCAGAAGCGGTTTAGTCATGCTGGTCACATGATCCAGAAAGCTGTCTGTGGATAAACGCCAGCTCCCTCAGCCTGAAAGCGAGATAAGCACCGCAACCCCATAGTCACCTTAGACTGGACTTAACCGTCCAGGGGTCCTTTACCTTTTTACCTTACATCTTATGCACCATCATAGAGCTAGCAACGGGCAAATGAAGGACGGATTTATGGACAAGTGGATGTAATTCCTTATGTACACTGGCAAGGGTTCCCCTGGGATTGCTTTGCCCAGCCACCTGAAAATATTTCTGGACTGGTCTGTGTCCACAACCGAAAGAAGGTAGTCCATCCCATAGTCAATACTGTTGTATAATGTAAGATGATTTTAGGTATGAAGACACTGTACTCCATACGATACTTTTTTTAAAAAACCCAAAAACTATGGTCGGCTAAAGTTTCTACAGTTTAAAATGCAATTAACAGATTTTTTACAAACTATATATAGCAGATGTCTGGCAGCAAAAGGATAACAGCTGTGTGTCTGACCTATAAGTGTTATTTTTAAAAGTTTTAAAAGTTATTAAAATTATTGAAAGTTTTAGTAAATATTTTTTCCTATAATATCATCCCATTTATTGATCTTCTCCCAATTATTTGGAGACTTCCTGTATCTTAGCTTTTCACTATCTAGTACATGAATCCAAAACTAGGATTAGGACACAGTAACACAGTGCTATTCATCAGTGATCACTGATATGTAATGTGACAGATTACCATGGCCAAGACACAAACAAAATGATTCCAGTGTTTCAATCCAGTTTGCAAACCTTTATTGCAGTGGAAGCCAAGGCCTCTCTTGGAGTGTTTGCGGTACTGTATTTGAAAGGGTGCAAAGTTCCAACAGCCAAAATCTGAGTAGGCTGAATGCCTCTGGCAGAGAACCAATTCGTCTTGGATTTGTGGGTATGGATTTTTCAAAGTGATTTGTGGAAAAGCTGCATAGAAAAAGCTACTGCTTTAACCTTGTACATGTTGTAGGAGGACGGCATACTCATTTTCATATTTTGCCAGTATTGGGATTAGCACCACAGAACATAAATATTTGTATGCATCAGGAGGTTGCCTACACATACCTGCACGGAAGACCCTCTGCATGCTTCCCTGAGAACACCTGGCTGGTGTTGGAAAGGGAGCAATAGTTATTTTATCTTTCAGGTGTTGGCAACCCTATCTCAGGCACAACTGTCTCTGAACCTCGAACCCAAATTTATTGACTCAGGAAAATGACTGTAGCACGACCCTCATAGAACCCACAGACAAAGTGAAACAAATTATTTTCTGATTAAAGAATAGTTACTTGAAAATGACATAAGTTCAACAAAGCCGAGTTAGATAATGTAATTTACTGTACATCAACATTGTAGAATGTTATAATGCAACATCAATTGTAAAATGTATCTCTAACAAAATTAATTGAATGTTATAGGCATCAGGTAGATGCTACATTGTTGTACAATAAATTCTAATTTGAACACCAATGATTTGCATTTCCCCCCTCAGTAGATATAAAGATACAGTTCCAATCACCCAGTCTTTACACGAATGCTTGCAAGATGCTCTACACATATCTAGGAGTTCTCTCTGTTTTTGGTCTGTCCAGCTAATTTGTTATTATTTTACTGGTCCAACACAGTTTTTGTGAAAGAAGTCATATGTTAGCTGTATATCTCAATCGGTGGGGGATTTATAGCCTCCAGATGTTGATGTACTGCAACTTGTCCCTGGTCATTGGCCAGCTGGATGGGACTTACAGGAGTTAGAATCATACAAGCTCTGGAGATTTCTTTCCCCTGATTTAAAACATCAAAGGACATGTTTTAATATAAGGTTGTAACAATGCATTCCATGAAAGTTCTGCCTTGCCCTGAGAAAGGAGAAGCAATTTCTTCCAAATCAGCTGTCCTCCATGGAGAATCTCTTTCTATGATGGAATTATCAATGAAGATGGACTATAGACTTTCACCGTTTCATCCCAAGCACAATCTGCCACCTATGGAGAGCAAACACAATCCATTTTAGACAGTTAGGAGTTACTAGTATGGGGGAAGAACACAACAAGAAACTGTCATGATGTGAACTAGAAGAGAAACCCATATGACTTTTTGATAGTTTGGCACGCAGATTTTTAATGGTTGCAGCAGCAATTCTCCTTGCCAACTTGAATGCAGCATCCCTACAATGCTAGCCAACAGACATTGAAATAGATAAAAAATAAATTTTAAAAAGACAATTTCAGATACATCCAAAACAATTGTTTCAACATAGTGCCAAGGCAAATGTTCTCTCAATGCAATGATTTTTACTTGCACAATAGAATATTCTTCCTCTGCACCCCAAAACCTGTTCTTGGCTTCTCCCAACCCTCTGGAGCTAGAATAGGGACAGTGTGAGGTTCATGCAAGGGGAGAAATTTGTGTTTCATTGCACTAACCATTCTGAGCACAATTATTTAATTGAATACCATCATATGCTTTTTTTAAAAAAAGAGTCACCTTTAGTAATCTATCATTTCAACATGATAGCTGACCCTTGCTCCTCAAAGCAATGTAAAATGTGCATTAAAACGTACAATGTAAAATGGCATTAAAACACTTTAAAACACAGAAATATTTTTATTTACTTCACCAGATTTATACACTGCTTGCTTGTTAAAACAACAACAACCCTCAAAATAGTTTACAATCTATAATGTACTGCAGACAGCAGTTTGAACCACAAAAGCTGTAGCCATAAATTATGTTGCTATATGTCCCAATTGTGAAAGAAAGAATTGATTATTTAGGGAGCATAGTTTTGATGAAAAAGATTATCTGTATATGAAACGAATGTATTGTGTAATTAACAACCCACCCTCCCCATCATTCATGATTTTTCTTCTCCATTTAAAATGACAGCTTTGTCACTCACTGACAACTCCCCCCCTCCCCCGGTTTCATAAGCATCATATTCAGATACGAGAAAGCAAATAAGTCTCTTCTGGCATGTTCAATTGCCAAGAGGAAACAATACATAAAACGCCATCTGCAAAATCCTTGGGGAATTCCCACCTGTGATCAACTTAATTAGCATCATGCAGTAGCTCCTGAACGCAAATACAGTGACAATAATTTCATCAAAACATAGGGAGAGCAAACAGGATTTCTGCAAAATTTAGACTTCAGAGAAGCAAATTGTACAATTCAGTCCAACTCTTGTTTCTGACTGTACAAGGGAAAACTTAAGGGTAGCTAAGCAATGAGAGCAAACAGAACGTCAATAGCAAATCATTCTGATAAATAATTGTGTGCTCTTGGAAGGCTGACAGACAGAAACCAGTCCTCAAGAGGGAGCACAGTTTTATGTCATTAAAAATCTTTATGCTATAAAAGGAGCAACACATGGGATTGAGAAGAGAAAGCTTGTTGCTTGGCGCTGTATCACTTAAGAAGGCACAAAGGGGAAATTACAATTAATGGCTCATGAATGTTTGATCAGTATTTGCATTTTAGGATTTGAAACCCACTGAACTCCTAAAGCTCAGGACTAGCAATCATAAACATATCATCCATTTGCACAAGTTTTGGTGATAGCTCATCCCCATTGTTATGGTTGTAACTTGATGAAGGTAACCCAGTATGAGCACAGATGTGCTGAAGTGCAAACCATGTTTTCTCAGGTAGTGTCCACCCTGCACACGAGTGATTTAGGAGCTGGTACCACCCAAGCTAAAGCAACACGTGACACCCAATATGATGCAGAAGAGGCAGAAACCTTTTATGCAAGTGGCAGAATCGAAGTGTGCAGGCACACAATGGGCCAAGAGCCAAAGAACGGAAGACACGGCTGAAAGTAGAATGGGTGTGGATTGTTATGAAACCTCCACTTGTATATGAATTAATGTGGACTTATGCTCCTAACTGGTTAGGTTTTGCCAATCACAGGGAATCTTTGGTTGCATCATCCTTGCTGGAGGTGATCTTTCATTGGGAACGGATCTTGCTCATGACTAACTTTAGTTGGACTACAGAGAAGCCCTTTAAATAATTTTTATCTGAGAGCAAGGAAAGGGTTGCTATAGCTCTTTAGCCCTTCATGAAAGGAGAATGAAATTGATTAAACAGAGCGGTCGGAATGAAGAGGATGATTAGGAAAACGGTTGTGTGAATTAATTACGATAAATTCTGAATTGCAGTATTAAGAGTTTATCCGTAATACCAAGTATTAAAGGTAAGAACTGATTAAGGATTAGAGCTAATTGACTCAGGAAATTAACGGTTCTTCATTTGCTCAATGAATTATCATAAATTAACTAAGTACAGACTCATTAAGGAAAATTATAATATTATAAACAAACAGAATTGTAGTAAATTATTTTCCCGTGATTAATTATTCTGGGGATTTTAAAAAATCAATATTGCTAAAGGGAGTTAGACTTTTTAGAGACTCTCCCCACTCCTAAGGAATCCTCTGTTATGCCATAATCCCACGTAGTTCTACTAATTACTATTCCTTTGAGAAATACACAAGGGACAGCTGCCTTATGTCGTTTGTTTTGTCTCAGGAGTACTTCTTCGCAATACTTTTTGCATGTAGATATCAATACCAGAGTACAAAATACTTGTTTCTTATTTCAGTTGTGAATGGAATGCTAAGATTGCCACTGTCTGCAATAAAACATGCAGAATTGCAAGCCCTTAGTAGTTGCTTCTACGTATCTTTCAGAAAGAGTGGCAATTCAAATGTACCAGCAACATAGTACATTTTCATGGCTCGGTCTGGCCAGATGCCATCTCCTAGGCCCACTGAGTATGCTCATTATTCACTAGACTACTTTGGGGTTGTTTTACTCCTTTATTTGCTTTTTCTTTGTACTTCTGCAAACCTTGGGGGTTTCCAAAGTCTGTTGCTCTATGTGGCTGCATTTTGGCTATATAAGTACTACTAGTAATCTGCGTCAAGGATCTGCGGAGAGTATTTCAACTTGGATTGAGGTGGAAGGATTAACACTTCCAAACATCACTACTGGAGGGGATGATAAAAGTGGAAGCAAGAAAGGAAAAAGGTGGATGATAGGTGTGCTGTTATCTCTTGCATTTCCTTCACGTGATAATCATAAGTGCAGCAGCCAGAAAGCTCTACAGTATTGCAGACTGTAGCAGAAAGGACAAATACATATTTTCAGGGCCACCCCTCTCTTTTCTTCTGACCTTCCCCTGAGTTCTGTATAAAACAGGAATAGTTATGTTATACTACTAAATAAGTAACATCCTGGCAATAAATACTGTAGAATCTAACCAGTAATCTGTGCCTGACATTCCCATTTAAAGTGAAGGGCTATTTGGTAGTGCTAGCAAATAACTAAAGAAACACTGGCTTACTAGCATGGTGCAGTGTTCCTACTCTCATGCCAACCAAACTGCTGGTAGGGAATTTGGAATTATGCAGCACATAAATCAAGCCTTTCCTTCCCTCCAAAGCCAAAGAATACAAATTCTGAATAAATGTAGGCTGACAAACTTCAAAATTCAGTTTGCTGAAGTGAAAGTCATCCCATTTTTTTAAATTCTCTCTTTGCCACACCATTTCCTACCAAGAGTGTAGAAGCCAGTTGCCATTCATTAATTAGCACTAGTCTTCACTGACCCGCCAGCTGATTTACTTCTCTGACAGGTCCCCAATTAGCCATTTATCATTACAGTCTTATTTTGCTGCTCAGTCCTTTTCTGGTACCTAAGGTAATCTGTCCAGCCTTTTGAAATTACCTGAATGACACACTGTCTTCTCAGTGCTTAAGGAGAGAGGGAAAATATCCTATAAGAATAGCTGATGTGCCAAGAACTGGAGGCTGTGGCCCAGGAAACACACTCACAGGGCAATCCAAATCCAAGCTCCAGCAGGATAAGCAAGTTTGGATTAGTCAGACCTTGGGCTGTGCTGGCTGAACCAGGGCTATGCTGTCATAGTGGCATAACCTCAACACAACTCAGCTGGGGCAAGGATGGTTCAGTTGGAGCTCAGCTGGTGGACCTTAAGATGGCAGAACATACATCAGCATAAGTCACCATTCTGGGGGCATGGTGGAGCAAGGAGAGAAACTATTCCAAACCTCTTCCAGCTCAGTCATGTGACTGGGCGATCTGGTGGAGCTCACATTAGCAAAAAGGGTGGTATAAGTCAAACTCTTTTAAAGGATTGTTTTCCTTCCACCAGGCTAATCCAGCAGTAGTCTTGCAACAAAATAGAGTGTGGAATAGGCATAGCTTGTGCTGGCTTTAATTTAAGACTGTGTGCATTCCACTGGCTTCCTAAACTTAGGAGACTGCTCTTTCCAGCTGCAACCCTATTCTCATTTAACTGGGTGTAAAGCCCCTTTCAACTCAGTGGAGCTTCATTCTGAGTAGACATGTTTAGGACTGCACTTATTTGTGAACAAATAGACTTGGGCAACAGGGAAAATTAAAATGAACAATTTTTAACGCCATAAAACTTAGCGTTTTCCCCCCCGAAGAGAAATAAATCCTTGGATAGAATGTTGTAGGCCAATATCAACATTATTATTATTAGAAGATCTGGCAGGAATCATTCAGAATTTTTGAAAGCTTCAATTACCAGTTCACAAAAATAGCATGATGGCTGTTTTACTGACAAAGGCCCATCTAAGTGTATATATGCTTCCTTGTTTCTCAATCAGCACGTTGCAGCCCAGGCTTGCATATTTTGCATTCATGTCTCCAATTCTAAATATAACAGACTTCATGGTTGCAACTGTCAGTGGTTTAACAGAATCATTCATGTACAAAAAGGTGCTGTGCAACACACAATAAATTAATGGTGAAGTAAATGAATACTATAGAATGACTGGGGGTGCTTGGTACAGGCAACAAAGAAAACTCCTGCACATTTAAATTATGGCATATTTAATACCCACGTAGAAATAACTCTGGCTTCAGTTTAACAGCTCTGTTCAACATCTAGAGCTACTAACACGGCAACAGAAGTGTGCGGGTGGTTTCCTCATAAGATGCAGAAAGAGCAGCAACTGTGGTAATTGGTCTTGCCAGTAAAGAAGGTCTTGCCAGTAAAGTAGGGCTACTTTACTTACCCATCAACGTTCTATCTATCTATCTATCTATCTATCTATCTATCATCTATCTATCTATCTATCATCTATCTATCTATCTATCTATCTATCTATCTATCTATTAAGATTTATATACCACTTAACAATAGCTTTTTAAAATATAAGTGGTTCTTCACAAAGTGAGCGTCTAGGAAAGTCAGTAGCTGATTTTGGTCCTGCAAACCTGCACTATTAAAATCAATGTAAGTTTTGCCACTGATTTCTGTAGGGATAAGTTTATTACTCTAGGGGGTCCAAACCTGGAATTTAATTTTAATCTCAGAGATGCCCTGAGCAATTTATTTTGCAGAATGTAACACTTGCGTATTTGCATGTGTCTTGTTCTTCATTGCAAAGATAGAATATATGTATATTCTTTTTACTACAGCTGCTTTTGAAATAAATTTAAAAACTGCAATTTAGAAAACCGAATCATGGTTCATACTTCACAGAACTTCTACAAGAGAATATTCCTGTGCGCACCCCTTCAAACCGCGAGTCCTGCTTTCAGGCAGACAACAGCTATAGAAAAAAACCTTGCTCAACAGAAAGCATTCATTTAGGTATGGTAGCCAATTATCTCAGTAGCATAAGAGAAGGCCTGATGAAAACTAGGTGCAGAATTAAAGAAAGAGTTCCCAGGACTTACATTTATTTCCCTTACGTTGGGGTTGAATGTTATTCAGGCTTATTACATTAGAAGTCTTAAAATACCATCCTCTCAACCCCTTTATGATAAGCGAAGAAACATTCCCTCATTTCATTGTATCTTCAAAGTAACATATTCAGCCGAGAAAAGATGAATTTGGCCGCTGAAGCAAGAGCAGGGGAGTTCATCCGTTTTATTTAAATGGGTACTATTTATGCTATACAAATTTTAAAGTGATGTCGCCACACAAAAATTGAGGGGGAAATGCAATTTCTCAAAGGGTGGCAAGGACAGAGAGGGAGACAGGAGCGAAGACCACCTCAGGGCCTTCTCTAGCTGGACACACACACGCTGCCTCAAGCAGGGTCATCTACCATTAAGAGCTCTGTCGGAAGGATTCCAGGAGAGAGGCAAGAAATGATACTTCAGGGCCTGCTCCAGGTGAACCGTTGCATTTCTCCCCAGAGCATGATGTACCATAAACTGCCTTGTGGGAAGGATCCTGATGCATTTTAAAAATATATAACTCAATGTTACTTATAAGCTGCCATGGAAGGATTTATATCCTGGCAGGTGAGATATATACAAAATGTGGTTTAATAAAAGAAGCTGCTTTTACAGTCGTACCTTGGATCCCAAACACCTTGAAACTCAAACGTTTTGGCTCCCAAATGCCACAAACCCAGAAGTGAGTGTTCTTTGGAACCCGAATTTCCAACGAGGCTTACACGGCTTCCAATTGCGTGCAGGAAGCTCCTGCAGTCAATCGGAAGGGGCGCCTTGGTTGTTGAACGTTTTCGGAAGTCGAATGGACTTCCGGAACAGATTCTGTTTGACAACCAAGGTACAACTATACTTGGTTTGTTACTTTTTTTCTACTAAGAGTCACAGTAACTGCTAGTGATGAATTGCTGCAGTGCAAGATGGGACAACTGGATTCTCTTAAAAGGGACTGTTTCTTTTTTTCTTTAAAATTAAACCACCATTTGCCCAAAGACCAATGGGTTCAAGCTGATTCTGCCTGGGGACACTGGGATAAGTTTGATGAGTGTGGCTTTTGATTAGGTGCCAGAAAAATAATAATCCCTTCCAACCTTCCCAGCTGTTAGAGAAAATAAATAATTAACTCTACACTATCCATATACTAATATTGGATTTGTTTGGATGCCCTTCTCGCCAAGGAAATGCTATGCATATACAAGCAGGTCCCACTATCTGCCTGCTTGTTATTTTAAAATTCACTTATCTTTACCCGAACCTCGCTATGTGCACAGTTGATTCAGATAACCAAACAGCCAGAGCCTGCCCACTTCCTTACTTGTTTGTGCTTCACTGTCTGGCTGCAGCCATTTTAGGAAGAAACCATGGAAGAGAGATCACAAATCAGAAATGTTCCCATAGGAAATCATGGAAACCATCAGCTCACCTAATGGACGATTTCCTGGGAAAGCACTGTGTTTGGTAACTGGGACTTGTGTGTATTCCATGTGTAAGCATAATGTCTGCAAGTGCATGACCTGGGGCCGATACACATGTTCACACATTCTGAGGGTCCAGAGGTAGAACAGGTGCACCCAGCGCTTAGGGCATAAAGCTGTGATTTTGATAACCTACCACTCAGACTCTAGTCAGAGAGAGTAATTTCTATTGCCCTTATAAGTGAGGATTAATTTATATAAACTACAGTTGATGCTTGCACCTACATAAGGAAAAAGAAGAAGACACTCTCTTTTCTCTTACCTGACTCGGGTGGTGCAAGCTTAAATCCAGGCCACAAGTAAACTCTGTGTGATGCTCCACAGTTTCAAGCAGTGGATCAGGCTTGGAGAAATCCCAGAATCTATAGATGGAAACAATATTGTAATTATGGTAATTGAAAGGCCATTTTAAAAAATGTAATGCTGGACTGCTGATGTGCTTGAAGCTGCCAAATGCTTTTAAAAAACAAACTCATCCACTTTAGAAATGCAATTAATCCTATTGCACAAGTCTTTTGACTCATCTGCATAAATAAGTACTTCATTAAGGCTACATCTCCTTCAGCCCAGTATGGAGATTTAGATCCAGAGCTGGCATGATGATCTCCCATTGGGATAAACTGCAAAACAGTAAACTGAAGTATCTTTATTAAACAGTAAGTAAAGCTTTATAACATATGAACCTATAAAGTCTGTCTTCTAACTGGGACATCTAGACAGGAACTATCTACTTCTACAGACTATGGGGCAATAAGCCTTTCAGAGTTTCACACCTGATTTTTCTTTTTTTAAAATGAAGATATCAAGGATGCAACTGGAGACTTTCTACATCAGAAATATTTGATTCATCGTTTAGCTATGTTTTATCAATGGTCTGAAACTTGATGCTCTGCAGAATTCACACAAGAATACCAGGCAAATGTGGAATTTTCAGATGTGTCCTAGGTGCTTACGGCGTCCCTAACATCTTAAACCTGTTTAGACAGGCAGCAGACAGCAGGGCAGAGAATACTCTTTACTATGTCAAGTAAGGCCGTTGGGAGGGACTACGTACTGTCACATACTCTATCCCACCTTCTGTTTGCTGTTTCCTGACATGGAAACTTCAAGGACTAAACCTGCCTTCCTGTTAACCAGGATCTTCAGTGATTGGATGGTTAATTGTATTTCTATACTGCTTTCCATTCAAATGAATCTCAAAGCAATAAATAACAATAGCAGAACATAATATCACAACTACAGCAGAAAAACATCAGTAAAATAATTACAATCTATAAATACTGTTAGCAAAAAATAAGCTAAACATCACAATTACAGCATGTTGCATTATGCGATTAACAAAACATTAATAAAACATTTATAATCTAGAGGATATTAACAAAATAGTAACTAAAAATAAGCTATTATGTTCACACACACACACACACACACACACAAATGTGGGACAGCCAGTGTTTAAAGTATATTTATAGCCAACAATAAAACTGAAAGAACTATTTTTTCCTTTTTTTTTTTTAACAGTCATGCCTATATGCGTATAAGGTAAAGTAGATACTACTCAAAAGATCAATAATTCTCAAAGTTATGTAACAATTCAACTGCTTAAACATTTCTAATTTACATTCTGGAATGTGTACTCAAAATTCAGGCCTCTTTAGATTACTTAACATTTTGTTACCTGGTTTGAGCTGTAAGGTAAATTAAATGTAGGCCAAATCAATCCTTTAAGTTAGGGGCCCTTCTTGAGCCTGGTACCCTCCAAATGTTTTGGACTACAACTCCTATCAGTTCTGGTCAATTGTCAGACATAATGGGAGTTGTAGTTCAACAACATCTGGAGACCACCAGGTTGGGAACATCTGCTTCAGATGTTGTTGGATCACAGCTCCCATCAGCCAGCATGGCCAATGATCAGGGATCAGCAGTCATCCAGGGCCTTGAGGTTCCCTACCCCGGCTTTATGTACTGAGCTGTTGGTATATCCTTGCGCTTAAAAAATTAAGATGTAGAGTGACAATTCCAATTCCATAAATGAACGATGGTACAAAAATCAGACATCTTTGTGCACACTTTGGTCCTCATTTTAACTATCCTGTAGATTTTCCTGTTCTTGTGGGCAGGACAAGGAATTACGAAGGGCACTGAAGTCCAGCCTCTTCTAGTTACTGACCTTTGATTCAGCAACCCATCTGTGGCACAGCTTCTGAGATCTTACCAGGCATTACTCACATCCTTCCAATTATTACTTTGCATCCATAAGGGCTTTTGTTTAAAGTGAAACCTCCACCTAGTATCACATTCTGCGTTTGTTTACTTACCGCATGCAGTTGCAACACACACACACACACACACACACACACACACACTGCCTTCTACATTACCTAATAACTAGTGTGCACTAAATATAATTCTTCGCTATTTTCATTGAGATACAATGCTTGCCCTTACTTCACCCACTACAGTCAATAGATTTCTACTACAACCAATTTTGTCTCTTCTTCTTTTCTCTCCCAAGGACCCCTTCTCTCTCAACATATATGCATGCTATGCTTACAAAAGAAGAACAGTATGCAATTCATAATGTACACAGCTGGTTTTGCCACTAGAGTGGTTACCAAGAAAGGAGGAAAAGACCAAACTATGGAAAATGCAATTCATGGGTGGTTTAGGGACACTGCAAACACTAGAGGCAACTGAATTAGTTTGCTTAATCTATCTTCATTTAATTTCTTTGCAAATCACCTGACCAGAATGGTGGCCACACAATGGATGCACTATGGCAACAGCCCTCTTTCGCTTCTCCTAGTACTAGAGGAACAGGAGAACGAGAGGTTATTTTCCAACATGCTCATTTCCAAAGAGCAAACGCATATGCAGATCAACATCCTTACATTTACCCATGATATCACACATTTATATTATTGGATAACTAGAAAAGATTAATTTAAAGTAGAAAAAAACCCCAACACATTTGAGTCTAACCTTTAAAACCTATTTAAACATATTAATAAAGCAGTCAAAAAGTAAAACTGCAGGTATCAGCAAGCCTTTACACACACACACACACACACACAAAATCTGGCCACCAGTTCTCAACAAGATATTGTAAGGCTAGAAAAGCTGCAGAAAAATGTGAACAAAGCAACCTAAGAGCAGGAAATGCTCCCGTGATGAAAGGTACAACACTTGGGGCTCTTTAGTTTAGAAAACGGCGTTTCCATGTGCTGCTCTGGTTCGCCAGAAGCGGCTTAGTCATGCTGGCCACATGACCTGGAAGCTGTCTGCAGACAAACACCAACTCCCTCGGCCAGTAAAGCGAGATGAGCGCTGCAACCCCAGAGTCGGTCACAACTGGACCTAATGGTCAGGGGTCCCTTTACCTTTAGTTTAGAAAAAATGAGAGGAAGGGAAGGGCCAAAGTAAGACTTTTACAAACAAGACTGGTCCTACTTAGGCACAGTGAGGCAGCCACCTTAGGTGGCATATGTTGAAGGGTATGGGGAGTGACACGGAAGTGCTGGGAGACAGAGCTGCCTTGTGTCCTCTAAACTAGCCTGCAGTACTGAGGAGCAGTGGTGCACCCATTCCTGTTGCCAAATTTGATGAACCTTTGGTCTGATCCAGCAAGACTCTTCTTGTGCAGAAGAGTTTGGTTTGCTGCGAAGTTACTGTGATTTAGTAAGGAGACGCGGGTGGCACTGTGGTCTAAACCACTGAGCCTAGGGCTTGCCGATCGGAAGGTCAGCGGTTCGAATCCCCGCAACGGGGTGAGCGCCTGTTGCTCGAATCCAGCTCCTGCCAACCTAGAAGTTTGAAAGCATGCTAAAAACTGCAAGTAGATAAATAGGTACCGCTCCAGCAGGAAGGTAAACATCGTTTCTGTGCGCTGCTCTGATTTGCCAGAAGCGGCTTAGCTATGCTGGCCACATGACCCGGAAGCTGTCTGTGGACAAACGCCGGCTCCCACGGCCAGTAAAGCAAGATGAGCGCCACAACCCCAGAGTCATCCGCGACTGGACTTAACTGTCAGGGGTCCTTTAACTTTTTAAGGAGACAGAACAACAAAGTGCCATGACAGCTGATAATCAATCTGAGGGGATTTCTTTGGTGCTATGCTCCCCAAACTATGCTGTACGGATTGTCCATTTGTACAGACCTACATTTTCTTGAGACAGAGGCACATTGTGACACTACAGGCAACCTCTGATTTGTGAGAGGGTTGCATTCCAGGTCATTGTACATGACGGAGGAGTGTGTACAAGCCCCACCCTCTTTCCCTGCCACTTCCGGGTTCACGGTAATGCACACGTGCACAATTGCACGTGCTTTGAACACACGCAACGTGGTCTTTGTCTGTATCTGACTATTTCCATGTGAAGGAAATATACTTCTACAGCAAATTATTCTCCCTCCACAGAAACAAATGTGCATACTATATTTGAAAATATCCCAGCTTGAGAAAGCAGAGTCAAAAACACTAGACAACTGGGATGGTTAATTAGGTTCTTGAATACTCAAAGAATGCATTCTTGTTCAATACAATCTTCCATGGACTACTATGGAATTAAGATTCCAAATAAGAATCTGTTTGAATGTGTTACCAGCTGCCTATTTACACTTCATAACTTGTATAAAGAACTTTCATCCACTTTTCCGAAGAAAGGTTATTTCAGGTGTTACTGAAAGTTCAGAACTAGCCCCATTTATATAACACTCTCCCCCCGTCAAACTTTAATGGAATATCAAAGAACAGGATTTAAGGAAGAAGCATTTCCCCCCTTGATAAGTGCAGTCAGTATGAAGAATGTTCTGGGCTGTACTGTTCTATAGTATATTAGTGGCCATTCACTGTAACTGTTATTTCATTTCCACAGATGACTAGATATTCTATATATACAAAAGTGGAGAGCCAATTCCTCATGAAAACAGTTCAGTAACTCCTACAGTTTCCCAAATCTGAGCTACACATAATCTTTATCTTCGAAGTATAGAAAGAAATGTTGCCAGTCAACTACATATAGAATTCCTAAAACCACTATACGAAGTCAAAATGTTAACTGTGGATGATTCTTGCACAGGTAGAATCATAAAAATAAATATTAGAAATCAATGCTGCCTGCTGCAAATGATTGCTTGTCTTACTAAGAAACAATCACATTCTTTCTACCAATGTGGATCAAAGTGGGTTTGGGGGGGAAATGCATCAAAATGCAGTATTTCTTAAGATACTACATACAGGATTGATAGTTCCAAACCAGTGATGGGAGACCACTGAATGCAGAGGACATGGGAGTTTGTACATAGTCGGAAACTATAGCTTTAACTGGAAACTGGTGTGCCCCCCCCCCCGGTTCATTCAAAA